ATTTTTTATATAGTAATAATATTACTAAAATTAATATTTAATATTTTATAAAAAAATTAACAATTTTTTTTAATTTCACAGGCAAATTTGCCTGCTAGACAATCTAAGGGATAATATATAAATTAATAATTAGATTATACTTATTAATCATAAAATTTAACATTTGTATATTAATATAATTTTTATATATTAAATATTATATTTAATAATAAATTATAATTTAATTAATATTAAATATCAATTTTTTTTAATATTATAATTATATTAAATAAAATATTATTTAAATATTAAATTTAATAATATATTTATAATACTAAATCAATAATAAAATTTTATATTGAAATAGTATTATTTTGTTTGTTTAATACTAAATTAATATTATAATAATTTAACATAAAGTATATGAATTTTAGTAATAATTTAACATTAAAATTATAATAAAATTTTTTAAATTTATTTTTAAGATAATTATTAAATAAATTAGTTACTAAAAAAGATGAGTAACTAATAAATTAAATAGAGAGTTTAAAGAATTGTAAAAGGTAATATTATACAAATATGCAAGAAAATTATACAAAACTAAAATAATTAAAATTAAAAGATAGTTTATATGTTTTTCTTTTAGGAATATTAAATGAGAATTTTGGTAATTATTTAAGTTAAAAATAGCTTTAAAATAGAATTATAGGAATAGTTAGTATTTATTATTAATATTTACTTTTTTATTTTATTTTAAATAAATTATTTTTGTATAATTTTATCAATAAATACTGATAATACCATATCTTTAAAAATAAAAAAATAAATTTATTAGTCTTTATATTATAGTATAAATATATATATTTTTGACTTTTGATTTTAGTAAAATACTTTAGAATGTATGTATAGAATTAACTAATTTTTACTATTATAATATAAATTTATATTTAACTAAATTCCTAGTTTTACAAATAATATGATTACTTATATAATTTTTATTATCCTTTAGATTATAGGATTTTGCAAACAAATTTGCCTATAAATTCTCTTTTAATTTACTTTTATAAATAATTAATATTTTTAAAAATTTTTTTTTGAATTAATTATATAAATATAAATATATTATAACAAGTTTTATCTTTTAATTCTATAATAATAAATTTAAATATTATTTAAAAGCTAAATTTTTAATTTTTAAAAAAATTTATTTTAAAAAATTTTATAATTAATCAATCTATGATAAATTTTTTAGAATTTACTTTTTAACTATATTAATTATAATAAAATATTTTAAAATTACTTATAAAGAAAAAGTTTATTATTATAATTTTTATAAATTATTAAGAAATTTTATGACTTTAATTAATGATAAAATGACTTAATTAGTATATAAGCATATAAATATTTAAAGAATTTCTAAAAAATTATTATAATAAATTTTTTGAAACTTAATTTTAAAATTAAATTATTTTAAAAAGTTTTTAAATAACTTAAAATCTATGTTAATAAAGTTGATAAAATATATATTAAACTATATTTTTTATATAGTAATGATATTTCTAAAATTAATATTTAATATTTTATAAAGAAATTAATATTTTTTTTTATTTTTGCAGGCAAATTTTCCTGCTATACAATCTAAAGGATAACTATTTTATAATTTTAGATTATTTATAATTTTAAGTTTATATTTAGTCATATTTAACTGTAATTAAGGTTGCTATATAAAATCTAAGATTTAATTAGACATTTAAATGATAAAGGTAAAACTTGGTTAATTCGTTATCTGTGTAATGACCAGACAGATTTAAGTATATCAAACCAGGATATTAAACATATAGAAAATTTTGTCAAACTAGAATCTGGTTTTTATTATTCAACTATTTCTTTAAACACCCTTGTAAACAATGTCTAAATGCAAGAGTTGTAATAAAAGCTATTCAACAATTCTTCTTACAGCTGGAAAAACTGTTTCAGAAATATATTATAAATCTTTTTCTTATGCATGGTGGATTGTGAGCGAAAGAAATATAAATGACCAAATAAAACTATTAGTTCCAATAAATTTAAGTATGGAAACACTTACAAAACTCAAAGGCCGTGATTTTATTATCACTGTTTTGGAACCTGATATTAGAACTTTGCCTAGTCTAAGATATCAAGCAATTTGTGATTCAAAACATAGTGAAATATATTCAAACTCTTCGACTGCTATTACATCGTTATACTAAGATTTATTTGGTATAAAAACGAAATTTTCTGGACCGCTTGTTATGGAATTTGACCAACAGGTTATTGTAGAAGAGTTACTAAAAAATATTCAATTTCAACCTTTTGAGATTTCTATAGAAAGGTTTCAAATAATAGTTTTTGGTATTGCCGTATCAAAAAATAAAGAATGGAATTATACTGGTACTAGATAGAGCTCTGAACAGGTCAGGTTAGGTCAGGTTAACTTATAAATCTTACCTGAATAACAGGTCAATCAGATTGACCTGACCTAAAGATGGTACTGTAATTAAGAAGTTGCAACTCGGTAAGTTGCAACTTGGGTTGCAACTGGTTGCAACTCCTTGC